AGTCTGCTTAGGCCCTAAGTCAAGCTGGAGGCAGACTGTGCAAGACCACATAGGCCAATTGTCCCTATTTACCCTTGTTTTATATAGCTAGTAACCATTAACATGGGTTTCTGTGTCTTTGGAAGTGTCTTGATTGTGTGCTAGAGTCATAGTCCTTCAGGGCTGATTTTTTTTTTTAATTAATTGTTTGAACATGTAAATGGAAATATAGTATTACTGGGGATAAGAGAGCCAGTATGATGTAATGGTCTGAGCATTGGACTACCACTCTAGAGACCAGGGTTCAAATCCCTGCTGAAACATAAAAACTCTCTGGATGACCTTGGGCAAGTCACACTCTCTGAGCCTCAGAGGATGGGGATGGCAACCCCCATCTGAAGAAACTTACAAAGAAAACAAAGTGAAGATTTACACCCCAAGTCTACCCATACTACAGAGGCTAGCAACAATTCTTCACACAAGAGTCTTTTCCATCCCAATTGGGATTTCTGGATATAGAATGTTGGATCAATACATGGACTCTATCACTAACCTTTGGCCCATCTCCCAGAGGATCTCCTGCACCTATATAGAAATGTGTTCATGGTTGTAGAAGCTGATGTTGAGACTTTTACAAGATGTTAAGAGTGGGAATTGAGTGGCCCATCCCTCTCTGACGAACAAGGCCACATATTTTCATTTTAGCTATGGACAGATCATGAAAAGTTATGGAATGCCCTTAAAGACATGGGAATGCCAACAAATCTGATAGTCCTGATGAGGAATCTGTACTCAGGACTAGAGGCTACAGTCAGAACAGAACACAGTAAAAGAGAATGATTCCCAGTTGGCAAAGGAGTCAGACATCCTTTCATCCTATCTGTTCAACTTGTATGCAGAACATATTATAAGAAAAACAGGCTTGGACACAGAAGAAGGAGGAGTGAAAATAAGAGGAAGGAATATCAATGATCTAAGATTTGCTGACAATACCATAGTACTAGCAGAAAACCTCACAAACCTGGAGCATCTACTAAGGAAGATCAAAGAAGAAAGTGCAAAGGTAGGCTTAATG